TATTTTCCTACAGTATTTGGTTAAGAATCTTTTTTCCTAGATTTTCCTAGATTTTCCTTTTTTAAAATTGGGAGCGTCTTATATGCCGGAGCGTCTTATATGGCGAAAAATACGGTACATTAGGTCTACAATGATTGATTGCCCTGACAAGAGCATGCACTGCTTTACAATCATAATAAAGAGCACTATGCTAAATAAATAATGCTAATAAAGTTGCCCTGTCATTTCAACCTAGATCATTCAAACATCTGTGTTTGCTTTTATGAGTAAATTATGAGATTCATCCAGTTGAGAGCAGGTGTAGTATCTATGTAGAAAAGACTTCCATTGGATTTAGCAGAGCCACAAACAGATAAATAGTACAGTTGTCCCTCGCTGTTCGCAGACTTCGAATCAGTGGTCCTGCTCTTCACGGGAGGGACAAGCAGGGAGGGATACAATGGTAGCACGTGCGCCATTATTTTCAATGGGGCTCAAATATTTGCAGGCCGCCATTTTGCAGTGGGGGCATCCAAAACAGATCCCCGTGAATTGGGAGGGGCTACTCTATTAGCAATGGGTGGTGCTATGCCCTTCATCTAATTCTGTCTTTGTACCATGAATTTAGTCACACCGTGGATCAGTTATACAGCAACAAAAAACATTTCCTTTTTGTGCTGTCTACATCTACTTATCCTGGACATGGAGGAAATGAGAGCTCCCCTGTACCCAATGGGACAACATTAAGGGCCTTTACAGACTGCCAGAAATAATGCAGCTTGAGCCCACTTTAACTCCCCTGGCTCAGTGCTAGGGAATCATGGAAATTGTATTATTTTTTTTTCTGAGACATTGAACCTTCTCTGTCAGAGAGCTTTGATGCCACAATAAACTACAGTTGCCATGATTCCTTAGCACTGAGCCAGGACAGTTAAAGTGGCCTCAAGCTGCACTATTTCTGACAGTCTGTAAAGGCCCTAAGTTACTGGTGCTGTTCCTAGTTCAACGAGATTAAGCCCTATATGCTTTACAAGGCTGTTCAAGATTGCTATACATGAGGGTCTAAAGAAACACTAGTTTAACAGCACAAATTTTGATGGGGCCTTTTAGCAACAGAAAGCTCTTCTGTCCATTCTACTCCTTCTCTGATCTCAAACAGTGTGACATTTATAAAATTTCTTTTCTTAAGATCTTCATGAACATTATTCCAGTAATCCTCACAAGAAATCTAAGAATAAATCAAATTTACATATGGCAGGGTAAGGTAAGCAATATTAACTTGCTGCCGAAAGCCACCTAGGCTTAGTAGTGTAGCAATAAATGTTGAAATTCAGATGTTTAATATGACATTCCCATAGCCATGCATTTGAGGAAGTCCAAAAATGTGGCAGTTGTATTGTCCCATACAACAAACCACTTCTAACAGTTTGCATCTTCGCTAGTAACAGATATTTTGTAAAGGTTTTTCTTCATTGTTCTGTTGTTTCTGATGCGACCCTAGGCATCACAAATTTTGTTTGTTCTTCTATAAAAGTGAACCTATCATAGTGCCTTTTTGTTGTTGTTTTTACAAGATTTGTTTAGAGGAGTTTGCCTTCCTTTTCCCCCCCGAGCCTAAGAGCATGTGACATACCCAAGATCACTCATTGGGTTTCATGGCCAAGCTGGGAATCAAACCCTGATCTCCAGAGTCATACTCCAGTACTCAAACCACTACGCCATGCTGGCTTGTATAAAGGTGTATATGAAACATAAATTCCTCCAACTAGGAAGCCTAGACTTAACACAAATATAAACAAAATCTACATGTTGTTGCTGTGTCCCTTCAAGTCATTTCTGACATGGCTACTCTAAGGTGAATTTATCATGGCTTTTTCTGCGGCTGAGTGTGACTGGCCCAAGGTCATCCAGTGGGTTTCTATGGCTGATTAGGGAATCAGACCTTGATCTCCAGCTCATAGTTCAACACTTAAACCACTACACCACACTGGCCAATGATTAAAATCAGCATTTGCTATAAATATGTCATCATATTAATTATGCATTCTATAAAATATCAAATACTGATTACAAAAGCTGTCAAATACTTGAAATATCAAATGTCACAGTCTGTCAGATATTAAATAACAGCACTGAATTATACTGCACATCAATTATTTTTTCTGATATTCAACATCACCCACTGCAGGTGGATTTATGTAAGCAAGAGTCTCCCAAGTTTATTTTCTTTGTTTTCAGTAGCTATACATGCCTTCCAAACATATCCATGTAAGTACTAGAATCGCTTATTATGTGTTGATGTCACACTATGCTAACATAATGTTGTGAATCCAAATGTCTGTGTGCTATGTGGCAGGCCCACAGATTCCAGGTGTTTATCCTGTTTGAAGTGCCAACAACTATGCCACAGAACTATATAATCAGGCATTAACACAGACTCCACCCCTATTGACACCCAAATGTCCAGAAACAACAAGAAAGGGGTAGAGAAGGGACACTGAACAAAGAGCTCTCTCAACAAAGGCCAGAGTCACTGCAGATTACAGGAAAGCAACAAGGAAGAAAATGCTAAATAGTTTGGCTCAATGTAAGTGCTTCTTCTTTACAGCAGTCCCCTGGAGGCTCCCATAAGACTGAGCTCCTAGTACAAATTATCAGTGCTATAGTTTATATGGCCTATATACAATTCAAGACAAAATACAATTCAAGTTGTTGGTGATAAAAATAACCTCCCTGAAACATCTCAGAAGATAAAAAGATATCAAAGGTGGTTACATTTTGTAGTCAAAATGGAAATGAATCACAATTCTTGCTTCCCAGTAAAAATTAGATTTTTATTAAAAAGTGGGGCGGTCAAAGTGTTCTTCCTTTCTTGCTCCAAGTGATCCTGGGGTAGCTCAAAGTGCTACCTTATTCTAAAACTATGATATCATCTGCTGTAACCTAATATGGATATCTGCAATGCCCTTCTCCTCCATTTCATCTTAAGACTGTGAAAATTAGCACACAAAAATAGCAACCATCAAGCTTAATCTTTCCCTTCCCACCCCTACTGTCTTCAGCATGCTTTTTGTAACATCTTGCTGGGTAAAGTAATCAGAACATATTAAATGCTTAGATACTAGAACAATTTTATTAATTCCAATTTTATTAATTTAAATTCAAAAGGTTATAAAAAGGTTGCATTGGAACTTTAAAATATCTTACTGCTTATTCATTATTAGTGTGGTATTTAAAATTGTTTTAATTAATGGTTTAATACTATAATTACATTTTGGTTTTAACATATACAATGAATCACATCTTTATTTCAACCTGTTTTAATCATGTTGGAAGGAGATTTGCATCACAACTCTGGAAGAAAGGTGGGATATAAATCAAAACAAAACAAAACAAAAGATTTTACACTAATATGGCTTTTTTCAATAACTTGAAGTTGTAACTAACTCCAGCCCTGTAATCATGCCCAAAGCACTTCCATGAGAGTTACCTCTTGTTGTTTTGGTAAGTGAAAAGATTATTAAAATGTTCTTAAATAAATTTCATGATTCTTTTAGACTTCATGTTTAACTGAGAAACCAGCACGGACGGAAGTGGCATCATCTTCTTGTGATGCATTCATGTATTGAAGATGTTACTTGCTGCTAAGTTGAAACAATGTCTAAAAGAACATATCATAGCATATCTTTATTTTCCTATTCTTTTCATCTTTCACTGAGCAGATTCCTTCATTTTGGGTTATTGGAGACTGCCTGAATTCAATCTACAGTCAGCCCTCAGTTTTCACGGGGGATCCGTTCCTCCCCCACCTCGCAAAAACAGAAATATGCAAATATTCAAGTCCTATAAGCTTGAATGGGGCTCACTCCATTGATTTAAATGGAGGTCACCCCTCTGTGAATATGCAAAACCGCAGAGTCTGCGAGAACAGAGGGACGACTGTACTTTAGCCACAAAAGATATTGTCCCCTCAAATTCTTGATCTCTCACTATCCAATCCTCTACACCTTTCTTTCTGTTAGCCTTGTATGGCTCTTATGATTGTACTGGTTTGTGTGTTTGTGTGCACCTTGGCACATTTCTAAATATAACTAAATATAAATATAAAAGATAAACCTTCCCACAAGCCAGCTAATAGACATTTTAGCTTCACAAAGATTAGAATTTGTACTACTATATTATTAAGACAAGCCCATATATTCTATTCAGACACAAGCTCCATTCCTCTATTGATTCCAATAGGTTGTACCACCAAGGTAAACATGCACAGGATTGAAACATCAGGCCAAACATTTTCAACTGCTAATAATGTTGCTGAAAGTGCTTGACAATATAAAAAGGTAATGACAATGCCAAACTATGTCAAGTTCAATGGTGTCTCTATCCTGCACTTTCATAGACCTTTACCACTTGTAATTGTGAGTCACTCTAAAAATGTTATCTTGAACCGGTAGACTATCACTAATTCATATACTGTCTGTCACTAGTATATTTTGCAGATCCTGAGACTCAGGAAAGAGCTCATGCTATTCAAATGCTTTGAACTCTGAGAAGCTTTGAAAAGCAGGGTCAGCAGTAAGGGATGGTGGAATCTCTAATCCCAAACATCTAGAGGCCCAGCACTCACCCACTATGCACAGATGGTGGCCTGAAACTGGCAAATATGCCAGTCTTAACTGATTGTGTTTTCATACAAATCAAGAAGCCTAGATTACATAACACATCTTAGCCTCACATGTAGTTCCCTAAACATGGCAAACAGGCATTTCACACACATCCTGCCAAAAGTGAATATGTCCTTAAGTACTGGGAACCGTCCAATGCTATCATGAGAGGCACAACCCACACTGAAAGAAACATGGTGTCTATCTCATTATGTCTGTGGAAGATTGTTATGCTGTGACACAGAAAGGGAATCATGCAGCCTTCCAGATGTTTCTGGACTCTAACCTCCCTCATTCCTACTGGCTATGATGGCTGGTGGGAGTCCTACAATATCTGGAGGGCTGAGTGCCACCCTTGCATTAGACCAGAGATAGGCAGCCTTTTTGAGCCAGGGGCCGGGTTGCTGTCCCTCAGACAATCG